GAATTGATGCAGTACCACTTCCTCCATATTCTATTAGTCAAAACAAGTCAAAAGGCCAACTCAGTTTTAAGGGGAGAGAAAATTGACTCCACCTGTTGATGAGGAGGACTGACATCTATATTCAGTTAGGAGAGTACTGCAGTATTTCAGGTGAGAGATGACAGTAGTTTGGATAATGGGAAAACAGAATTTGGGGAGATTGGTTGTAATATGAATACATGTGGAAGGTAGAGCCAATAGGATATAGTAATGAATAGTGGCTTAGTCTGCTTGGGCTGCCATTAAAAAATACCATAAACTGGCTTGCTTAAATAACAGAAATTTATTTTCTCACACTCTCGAGGCTCGAGGTCCAAGATGGTCAGGTGGTGGTGAAACTTCTCTTCCTGGCTTGCAGATGGCCACCTTCTTGCTGTGTCCTCATATGGCCTTTCCTTGGTGTATGCACATGGAGAAAGAGAGCGCTCTCTCCCATTTTTTGTAAGGTCACCAGTCCTATCAGATTAGGACTCCATCCCATGAACTTACTTAACCTTAATTACCTCTTAAAAGCCCTATCTCCAAAGATAGTCACATTGAGGGTTAGGGTTCCCACAAAGCCATTTTGGGGGATGGAATTCAGTCCATAGCAAACAGGAGGTAGAATGTGAAAGAAAGAGGAGTCAAGGATGAGTCTAGTTTTTCAGTCTGATCAACTGGAAAAAGAGATTTACATTAACTTAAATAGGGAATAATGCCGAAGATAATGAAGATAATAATGCTGTTTGGGGGGACTGGGATGTTCAATTTTGGACATGTTAATTTTGAGATAAATATTAGACACTCAAGAGATAGGTGAATAAGGTAATGGGATACGGGTTTTGACTGGATATGAATTTTCTAGACCGGAGACATAAAGTGGGGTTTTATTAGATTATTGATGGCATTTAAAACCATCAGAATGAGGGGAAACAGGGTGGCTCAGTCAGTTAAGCATCTGCCTTCGGCTGGGGTCATGATCCCAGTCTTGGGATAGAGCCCTGCATCAGGGCTCTCTGCTCAGTGGGGAGTCTGCTTCTCCCTCTTCCTCTGCCACTCTCCCAGCTCATTCTCTCTCTCTCAAATAAATAAAATCTTAAAAAAAAATCAGAATGAGGTCAACATGAGACTAAGTGTAATAGAGAGGAAGTCTTTTGAGAAATTGATTGTTGAGTTTGGGGAGACGAGGATGAACAACAAAGGATTGAGAATTGGCTAGTGAGGGAGAAGGAGGGCCAAGAGAATGTGGTGTCTGGAAGTGGCACTGATAAGAACTGTGTTAAATGCTGCTTATAGGTCAAGTGAGATGAGGAATAAGTATTGATCACCAGATTTGGCATTGTGGAAGTCATTACTGATATGGCAGCAGGAATTTCTGAGCAGTGATAGCCTGATTAGAGATGAACCAGGAGGAATGGGAATAGAGGTAGTATAAAGGTTTTACTGAAAAGAGGAGAGAGAAATGGTGGGTAAGTTGAGGTAGAAGTGGTTAGGAGACTCCTTTAAGATGATGTTATGACAGCAAGTTTGTATGGTGATGGGAATGATGCAGTAGAGAGCAGAAGAAAAAAAGAATAATATAGGAGAGAAAGGGGAGAATTACTAGCACACAGGGAAGAGAAAATACCCCAGCTATTTGCATGGCCCACTTATTCACTTCCATTAGATCTATGCCCACATGTCCCCTTCTCAATGAGGTATTTTCCAATTACCCTATTTCAATTGCAACTCACCCTCACCCCTGGCAACCCTATCCTTCATCTTTTTCTTTCCTTCACTTTATTTTTCTCTATACCAGTGATCAATTTCTAATGCTACATACTTATTTTGTCCTTGTCTGTCTCATCTCACTAGAAAATAAGCTTTATGTGAACAGGGATCTTTAATCCTTAGAACAGTACCTGTGACATGGTAGGTGCTCAAAAAATATTTGTTGAATCGTTAAGAAAATGGCTGTGTCCTCTATGGCACAAACCATATTGCCAGGCATAAATTAGGCATGGAAATATTTGTGAAGATTATCAGATCTGTAAGGTTAAAGTACTTCACATCTTTTTATAGATTATTAAAAAATAAATTTAAGCCACATTGTTTAATGCTCTTCCTTAATGACACTTAAGTATGTCTATATATCTACATGTATATACCTATAGGATTTAAAATGAATGTTTCCATCACTCTTTCCAAAAAAAATTTTCAACAGCTTTATTGAGATACAATTCACTTATTTACAATTCATTCATCTAAAGTGACAAATTCAATAGTTTTAAATATATTCACAGATATGTGCAACCATCATCACAATTTTAGAACATCTTTATCACCTGAAAAAGAAACCCCATATACTTTAGCTATCCTTCTATTCCTCCGCTCCATCTCATGCCTCTCAACCCAAGGAACTGTAAATCTACTTTGTATAGATCTGTGTATTCTAAACATTTCAAATAAATGGAATCATGTAAATCGTGATCTTTTGTGATGGGCTTATTTCACTTAGTATGTTTTCAAGGTTCATTCATATTGTTAGCATGGATAGTATCTCATTCCTTTCTATTGCTAAACAGTATTCTATTGTAGAGATGTTTCACATTTTGTTTACCTATTCATTTGTTGCTGGACATTTGGCTGGTTTCCACCTCTTCATTATTGTGAATAGTGCTGCTATGAACTTTCATGTATAGGGTATATACTTAGCAGTGGAATTATTGGGTCATATGATAAATCCCTGTTTAACTTTTTGAGACTGCCAAACTGTTTTCTTACAGTGGCTACACCGTTTTACATTCCTACCAGCAATGAGAGTTCCAATTTCTTCATATCTCCACTAACACTTGTTATTTATTAAAAAAAATTTTTTTTATTATAGCCATCCTCCTGATTGTGGTCTCTCATTGTGATTTTGCCCATCCCTTTTTATTCCCTCAAATACCAGCTTTCCCTCCAGTAAAGAACTGGAAGGAAAATAATTTTCTCCTACTACATCCTAGAATTGCTTGAAAAATAAATCTGTGAATTGGTATGTATACACTTCACAATACCACTTCAGACCCTATAGATAGCTTTTAAATATTATGGTTATTTTAAAAATGGTCACTCGAGATTCTGGCAATTTCCCATGCCCCCCCCCCGCAGAATTTATTTAACAGCTACGTAATAAGGTAAAGGCTAAAATAGAAAATATCTTGGGAACCTGTATTTCTTCTCTTAGGTGATTATATGCTTTTTAAAAACCTCAATCCAATTTTGATATCAGATTTTTTTTCCTATAAAGGTGACAAATGTGAGAATTTATAAAAACAGGTGCGCTGGAAAGCTTACAGTTTTATTCAGAGTCAAATGTGGGCAATTAAAATGCAACAAGAGGAGGAGGAGGAAGGAAAACCTTTCCAAAAAGTAAGGTCTTACCAAAAATGTTTACCTTCCGCTTCCCAACTTGGGGTGGTAGTTTTCCTTTAAAAACAAACAAAAATATGTTTTTCCAAATACCAAAATTATGTGTATGCATCTGAAGCAACAAAACAAGAAGACAAGGTGGAGATGCCTTCTGCAGGTTACCAGAGCTTGAAAGGTATTTCCTGACAAAGGAGCAGCTTCAGATGGGACACCTGGCGAAACTGCATATGCAAATAAGTGCTGGGAAAGTGTCCCTGGGATTCACCTCCTTTGGTTACTTTGAGAAGTCATTACAGGTTATGAAACTTTGTGTTCTAATGCAAACAGGTACGGGAAGCAGTGAAAAGCAGTTCAAGTAACACAGCTGTAGTTAAACACCTGAACAGTAGTGGTGGCTGGAGAAAGAAATATGGCTGATCCAGGTTTTGGACAGTTGGGGTCTTCAGAGCTGCTATTCCAGTAGAATTAGGAAAAAATACCCTTTTCTCAGACTGTGGTATAATAAATATTGACCCTAAAAATGTTCATAAGTTACTGGCTTCCTTGGACCTAGAGGGAGTCACATGAAAATGATTCTATTTATATCAGAGGACCCCCCACCCCACCTCCCGTGGTCAATTTCTCTCTAATCAGAAAAGGGGGATACTGGTGGATGTCAGCAGGCTCAGACCTCCCACAAACTCGGAATTATTTTCCCCAAATCTACAAAGCAAGAGTCCTGAGTAGCCTATTTTATCCGCAAGGAAATTGTTTAATCAATTCATATATTTGAAGAGCTGCAAAGAAATGGATGGGTGGTGGCTACTTTCTTGCTTCAGAGTTGGGAGAGACTCTAGAGATAAGCCAGAGTAGAAAACCTTCCTACTACACACTCTCGTCTCGGGTTTGAAAATACCACCGTATTCTAGCCAAATTGTTTCATTTACTATTCCTTTATTCCTAAATTAACGAGGAGGTATTAACAAGGACTGTGTGTACAATATGTGCCCACAATATGGTGACTATTAAGAGACAGCGTAATAAAATATACTTGTGTTTTCCCCACTAGACCTAGGCCACCCAATTTATCAAGCCCTACCCTGGGTTTATATCTAGAAGATGCTGGATTGCTACTTAGTTACCCATAATGATGAAGGGGAGAGCATTCTTCAACAAACACACTGGCTTACAAGCGCTGTGGGTTCCGGGGGTGAGGGTGGGGGCTTATAAAATGCATAAAGTCTAATAAGATATGGCAGTACCTGCCCCAAATAAAAAGCTCACAACTTGATGGTGCACACCTGTTATTACCAACCTCTCTTCTTTTTTGGAGCACGACGCTGGAAAAGTGTATGATGGCTAATGTTTAATTGAGCATTTACTGTGCGAAAGGACATTCTTCAGGGGGCCTTCGTATTAACTCCATTTGGTTCTCAAATAAGCCTACGACGCAGGTACTATTCTATCCCTATTGTACAGATAAACAGGACAGAGGTTAATTACCCGCAAGGTCACACATCCGTGAAACGGAGTAAAGCGAGACCCCGCGGAGCTGGAGGCGCAGAAGGGAGGGGAGGGGCAGGGGGAGGAGCATAGAGGGCGGGCTTTACCTTCGTCAGGACGCCGCTAACGCCATCCGCTCACTGTTTTGCATATCCCCATCTCTTTACCTGCTAGCGTCACCGGTAGGGCTGGAAACCCTCCGTAGGGTTAGGCCTCGATCCTGAGAAGACCTTCCCATAGGCGATGGAGGGTTCGCTTCTTCCTCACAGCCTGGTCGGGAGAGCCGGAGGGCCGGCTCCCGCAGGCGAACTACAACCCCCATTACTCCCCGCGCGGAAGGCTGGTCCACGCGGAGGGAACGTGGGGGTGTTCCAAAGGTGCCTTGAGGGGGAAAAAAAAAAAAATCACGTACATCTTCCGTCGCCTTTCTACCTTCTCACAGGCCTCGCCTCCATCATCTGTTTTATCAACAGAGCGTGCAATGAAGCGTGTAGAGTCGCTCTGTCTTCAGGCGCAGCAGAGGGCAGGCACGACGACGGCGCGCGGGCGCGAGGTCCCCGGGCCGCGCGCGGGGCGGAGCCAGTGGCGGTGGGGCTGGGGGCGCAGGCCGGAAGTGTGCGAGGGCGGAGGAAGAGGCGTGAGTGGCTGCGGGCGCGCGCTTCCGGGCAGTGCGTCGACGTCGGCGGGCTGGAAAGGGGTCCTCGGAAGGCTCTCCGGCCAGCACCTTACGCATTCCGCTGGCTGCAAGGCCCTCAGTCTCCGTTCATCTCGCAGTAGGCCGTGACGACATGAGCAGCAAAGAAGGTGGCGTCCTCAGCGGCCCTGGGCGTTATTTATTCAGAGGGGGCGGATCTCCATCCTTTTTGTCGGATTTTCCACTTCTCTTCACCCTTGAGGGATGCCCTCTCCCCATACAGGCTCCGGGGCGGCGGCCCCGGTGATTTCCTGGCCACATTGATTCTCTTTACACCTCGCCTTTTTTTTTTTTTTTAAATCCTCGAGCTGTATTTTTTAATTTTAGTTCGGTAATTGCTCCACCTTGTGCCAGATCAGGGAAGCCATTGGTGGAGGCCCGGGTGAGGTGAGCTTAAGGTTTGGGGGAAAAAAAGGCAGGGCTGTTGTTCTGTCAGTCCGCTAAGAGAGCCTCTAAGGCGAGGGCCCCGTGGGCGCAGGTTTGAGAGAAAGGAAGGGGTTAGCAGACCTTACGTTTTGTCAGCTCTTGATGGTGGAAGAGTCCTATCCAACTTTTTTCTCCTTCTCTACGTAAGGATCAGGAGGGTTCAGGAAAAGGAAGCATGACAATTTCCCACATAACCAGAGAAGAGAAGGGAAGGATGTTAATTCATCTTCACCTGTGATGTTGGCCTTCAAATGTAAGTTCTCTGTAACGGAAGTTGGCGAAGGGAAGAGGACGAAAGAGGTTGTAGCAAGGATAATTTAGGCATGTTGTGCACACAAAAGAACAGTCCGTCAGAATGTGAGATATGCCTGTGTGACTCTTTTTTACTTTCCCTGGAGGTTTGCTGGGGTGCTGGGTCTGCCATTAAAGTCGAGATCACTCAAGTGTTGACTTTTTTTTATTACAGTTCTACAGGTAAACATTAGTTAACTAACATCAGAAATGCCACATAACTAAAAATTACTGTGTACCCGGTATACAAATATGTATCAGCTGTATATGTCAGGTATATATACACACACATATATTTGATTAGTTGACTCTTAAGCATGTATTGGTTTTGTTTCCTCAACTAGACTTTTGAAGACAGGGATTACAATTTTTGTTTTGACTGTTAACACTTTGCACAGAGTGGGAACTCATCTATTAGTAAATCATATACATGTTAAATACACACTATACATATATAATGTGTATGTGTGTGTATATATGTTACAGTCCTCCTTTTAACTTGGTCAAGTTGCTCCTCATTTCAAAACAAAACAAAACAAAATTCTCCTTCCTGTCATTCTGGATCCACCCTCCTATAGCTTATGGTTTCTGTGGTTCAGGAACCTGAGAATGCCTGAGCTGTTGATTCTAACTCCCACTTATCTGAAGGCTGGATTGGGGCCAGAGGATCCACAGCAATTGACAAGTTAGGCCGTCTGCCAACAACCAGCTCTCAGTCCTCACATGGAGCCCCCCATCGTGCTACTTGAGTGTCCTAACGTCATGGCATCTAGCTTCCCCAGTTAGCAAGGAGGAAACCACAATCTCCTTATGTCCTGATCATAATACATGGTCACTTTTGCTACATTCTGTTTGTTAGAAATGAGGCAATTTAAAAACTGCTTCATGTTTAAAGGGAAGGGAATTAGGTTCCACCTTTTGAAGGGAGTCTCAAATAATTTCTGGGCATATTTTAAAACCGCTGCACCTACAGTGATCTTAAGAGGTATAAGACAACTTGTAATCGAGAGTGTATTGATAAAATTGTATACACAGTGGAGAAAATGAAGTGGGCCAAGTATTCCCTATCCTTATACTCTTGACACACCCTATACAGAACTGCTTGTTTCCAAGCATATGTTGCTTTTGTATGTTTCTGTTTGCCTTTTCACACATAGTTCTTTAAGCTCGAGATTGCTTCTAAATTGCTGCCCCCATTGTCCGTCTGGTGAACTATGGTTTTCTTCATGACCTAACTCAAGTATCTTCTTCCTTGGAAGCTGTTTTGATTTTTCTTTCAAGCAGATTTATTGACAGACATTGCATTTATTCATTATCCATCCATTTAGTTATGAAATATTTATTGAGCGTCTACTCTAGAATGTGTTAGTAGTAAACAAGAAAAATGTGGTTCCTGCTTTCGTGAACCTTTACATGTATTTATTATGTATTTTATTTATTTGTTTACATATTTGTCTTTAACTGGACTATGCTCCTTGAGGATAGGAATTGTCTTATTTAACTTTGTAATCATAGTATCTAATTCACAATGGTCATTAATATTTATAATAAATAATGAAAGCTTTTGATTGCCTTTAAGTATCAGGCAAAATCCCAGCTTAATTATTATCTCAGTAATAAAAGAGCAGATGTATTTGGTCCTTGTCAACCTGTTAATTTGGTTAATAGTTTTCTCAAGTTCTGGGTTTTTTTAATTCATGCAAAATACACCTCTGTACTCCCTGTAGGACAGGCAATTTGCTAGGTCTTTAGCATGACAATGCTTCTGAAGGAAAGTGGTGACTAATTAAGAGTTAAGTGGTTTATGGGTATTTCAGTGACTGGGGCTTGGAAATTCAGAAAGTTAATGTCCTTAAAAGTTATAAACTTTTAATTAAAAAAAATCCAGGTTTTTGTGGGGAAAGATAATATTGCATGTGGTAGGGTGATTAAAAAAAAGTTAGGTAACTTAGGTAGTTGGAAGTAATTTTTTAAGTCTGTGATAATTCTATGATAACAATCTCATATTTACTAGATGAGGTGTTTTTGTTTTTAACAATATACACATCTTACTGTGAGGCTGTGAGTGGTAAAACCCAGTTAAAGCATACCTGTGTTTAAATAAAGAATATTTTGGTTACTAGCAGTCTTTGATTTCCAGATACTTCAAAAATAGATGATATGCTCTTCATTTTTATAAAGTAAGAGTTGCTTTATTGTGCGTAACAGTGCTGTTTGATAGGCTTGAAGCATAGAATGTGCATGCTTATGGTTGTAATAATGTGTTGTTAGCATTTCAGCAGGAACTTGATGCAAGACATGACAAATATGAGAGACTTGTGAAACTTAGTCGGGATATAACTGTTGAAAGTAAAAGGACAATTTTTCTCCTCCACAGGATTACAAGGTGAGTAAATATCTTAAAAATTTGTTACAGTTGCATACAGTTTGATATGTACTATGTATTTTGTAAAGCTTTATACCTCAGTGGACAGTAACTTGCTGTTAGAATATTCCATGATTTATTCTATGAACCCTGGGATCAGAAGAAGTTAGCAGCAAGTAGATTTTTTTTTTTTAAGAGAGTCAGCCAGCATGAGCTGAGGGGGAGGGGAAAAGGGAGAGGGAGAGAGAGAATCTTAAGCAGGCTCCATGCACACTGTGGAGCTAATGTGGGGCTCAGTCCCACAACCCTGAGATCATGACCTGAGCCAAAAACCAAGATTCAGACACCCAGTGGACTGAGCCACTTAGGCATCCCAGTAGCAAGTAGGTTTTAAGAATAAATATTTTAATCAGTATAGGAAGGGAAAGTTCTTATTTTCAGAGCAGCTAGGGATTTTGTGTTAAGATCACTCAGTGTTACAGGTGTTGTTTGTGAAAATATTAAATTTCTTTTTTTAAGATTTTATTTATTTATTCATGAGAGACAGAGAGAGAGAGAGAGAAGCAGAGGGAGAGGCAGGCTCCCAAGGAGCAGGGAGCCTGATGCGGGACTCGATCCCAGGACCCTGGGATCATGACCTGAGCCGAAGGCAGACGCTTAACCATCTGAGCCACCCAGGCGCCCGAAAATATTAAATTTCTAATGGTTTATTAGAGCCTGTTAAAGCTTTACTAGTTGATACATGCAAAATTTTATATTAGATCAGTGTTGCAATCTGCTTTATTTATCTTCCTATTCATTGTTTAACTCATTGCAATCTGCTTTTCTGCCTCACAACTATTGAAATTGCCCAGTTACTCTCATATTGCTAAATCTAGCGCATACTCTTCTTATTTTACATTTTTGTAGCATATGCTACTATTGACTGCTTAATTCTTCTTTAGAACTTCCTTTTCCTTCAGCTCTGAGGCATCTTTTCTTTGAAATTTCTTTCTGTAAGATTATTTTATTTTATTTTTCTAGGTAGGCTCTGTATATATCCTGGATTCCTTGGTTGCAAATAAAAGAAACCAGCTTATGAGGCGCCTGGTGGCTCAGTTGGTTAAGTGTCCAACTCTTGGTTTTGGCTCAGGTCGTGCTCTCATGGTCAGGAGATCGAGCCCCATGTTGGGCTCTGCACTCAGAGTGGAGTCTGCTTGAGACTGTCCACCCCCCCCACTCCCCACTCCCCGCTCATGTGCGTATATGTTCTCTCTCAAATAAATAAAATTAAAAAAAAAAAAAAAAAAAGGAAAGAAACCAGCTTAAACTACCCCAAGCAGAAGAGGGAAATGAATTACAGAGATTCA